TAAGCAACTATACTGTGAAACTGCGAATGGCTCATTAAATCAGTTATCGTTTATTTGATAGTACCTTACTACATGGATATCCGTGGTAATTCTAGAGCTAATACATGCGAAAGGTCGCGCAAGCGGCTGTATTTATTAGATAAAAAACCAACCCTTCGGGTCTTTGGTGATTCATGATAACTCAACGAATCGGATGGTCTTGCACCGCCGATGGTTCATTCAAATTTCTGCCCCATCAACTTTCGATGGTAGGATAGTGGCCTACCATGGTTTCAACGGGTAACGGGGAATTAGGGTTCTACTCCCGGAGAGGGAGCCTGAGAAACGGCTACGTAAGTACCATGTTAAAGACTTTTGAAGTTCATTTACTAACAATTTTCTAGCACATCCAAGGAAGGCAGCAGGCGCGCAAATTACCCAATCCCGACACGGGGAGGTAGTGACAATAAATACTGATGCGGGGCTCTTTTGGGTCTTGCAATTGGAATGAGTACAATCTAAAGCCCATAACGAGGAACAATTGGAGGGCAAGTCTGGTGCCAGCAGCCGCGGTAATTCCAGCTCCAAAAGCGTATATTAAAGTTGTTGCAGTTATAAAGCTCGTAGTTGTACCGTGGACTTGGCTGCTGGGATGTCTCTATGAGCGTGTACCAGTCGGCCGGGTCTTCCATCTGGGGATACTTTCGTCACTTTACTGGGACGGATGGGTAACCAGACGATTTTACTTTGAGAAAATTAGAGTGTTCAAGGCAGGCGTTTGCTCGAATACATTAGCATGGAATAATGGAACAGGACGTGCGTCCGTATTCTGTTGGTTTCTACGGACGCCGTAATGATTAATAGGATCAGTCGGGGGCATCTGTACTCAGTGGCTAGAGGTGAAATTCTTGGATCCATTGGGGACAAACTAATGCGAAAGCATTTGTCAAGGATGTTTTCATTAATCAGTGAACGAAAGTTGGGGGATCGAAGACGATCAGATACCGTCCTAGTCTCAACCGTAAATCATGCCGACTTGGGATCGGACGATCGTTGTACTATTCAGTGACTCGTCAGGCACCATGTGGGAAACTAAAGTATGTGGGTTCTGGGGGGAGTATGGTCGCAAGGCTGAAACTTAAAGAAATTGACGGAAGGGCACCACCAGGCGTGGATCCTGCGGCTTAATTTGACTCAACACGGGGAAACTCACCAGGTCCAGACAAACTGTAGGATTGACAGACTAATAGCTCTTTCTTGATTATTTGGGTGGTGGTGCATGGCCGTTCTTAGTTCGTGGACTGATCTGTCTGCTCAATTGCGCCAACGAACGAGACCCTTTCTTGCTTAATGGCGGGTCGACTTTTGTCGTCTGTCAGCCTCTTAGAAGAACTGCTTAGCGATGTTTCTATCAGAAGCTAGCGGTAGCTTTTGGCAATAACAGGTCAGTGATGCCCTTAGATGTTCTGGGCCGCACGCGCGATACAATGATGGGCTCACCGAGTTTACAACCTGCTTCGAGAGTTGTGGGTAATCTCTGAATGCCTGTCGTGCTGGGGATTGAGCATTGCAATTATCGCTCATCAACGAGGAATGTCTAGTAAGCGTATGTCATCAACATGCGTTGAATTTGTCCCTGCTCTTTGTACACACCGCCCGTCGTTAGAACCGATCGAATGGCTTAGTGAGGCTCTTGGACCGGTGCTCGAGGGTTGGCAACGACTCTTTTGCGCTGGAAAATGATCCAAACTTGGTCATTTAGAGGATCTACAAGTCGTAACAAGGTTTCCGTAGGTGAACCTGCGGAAGGATCATTACCGAGTGAAGGTTGAAAGACCTAATCTCCACCCTTGATGTTGCAGATTGTTGCTTTGGCGGAAGGTAAACGTCCGCCGAGGGATCGCACAACTCTATTTGAACGATGTCTGGTTACGTAATCAATAATTAAAACTTTCAACAACGGATCTCTTGGTTCTGGCAACGATGAAGAACACAGCCAAATGTGATAAGCAATGCGAATCGCACTCAGTGAATCATCGGATTTTTGAACGCACATTGCGCTTAGTGGCATGCCGCTAAGCACGTCTGTTCGAGCGTCATTAAACCCTTACAAGTTTGCTTGTATTGAGAGATGGTGTGCCACTCTCCAAAGACATCTGGTGACAGCTAAAGCTATAGTATGGTTAATTTGTACTCAACTTTGGTCAGTCACTATGACAACAATATTTTGACCTCGAATCAGATGGGGATACCCGCTGAACTTAAGCATATCAATAAGCGGAGGAAAAGAAACCAACAGGGATTGCCTCAGTAACGGCGAGTGAAGCGGCAATAGCTCAATTTTGAAATCTAGCACCTCTGGTGTTCGAGTTGTAATTTGTAGAAGATGTTCCCGAGTTTACCTTGGTCTATGTTCCTTGGAACAGGTCGTCATAGAGGGTGAGAATCCCGTATGTGGCCGAGTGTACTCTCGATGTGGTACTCTTCGTCGAGTCGAGTTGTTTGGGAATGCAGCTCAAAGTAGGAGGTAAATTTCTTCTAAAGCTAAATACCGGCCAGAGACCGATAGCGCACAAGTAGAGTGATCGAAAGATGAAAAGCACTCCGGAAGGGGGGTCAAAAAGCACGTGAAATTGTTGAAAGGGAAGCGCTTGCAACCAGATTG